AAACCATTTCAGGTGACTACCTCTTGAAGCTCATGGAGAGAATGCCAAGAGTGTGCAAAGCAGTAATCAGAGCAAAGGGTGGCTATTTTGAAGAAACTAGAATATAAAACATGTTTTCAGTTATTTCACCTTTTTTTGTTAAGTACATAACTCCACATGTGTTCATTCATAGTTTTGATGCCTTCAGTGAGAATCTACAATGTAAATAGTCATGAAAATAAAGAAAACGCATTGAATGAGAAGGTGTGTCCAAACTTTTGGCCTGTACTGTAGATATATATATATATATATATATATATGTATATTCTATGCGGCTATTATAGTAAAAAAAAAAAAATAGGGGCGCACGTATGTAAATTAATAGTCCCTTTATTCCAAAAGTCATAAAGAAAGCAAGGGAAGAACATTTCATAAAGCCCTGGAAGGCAGGAGTGGATGAACCCGGTTAAAGAGTACCCGCCCAGACAGGACACTCTAAAACTAAAGCAAGCGCGCCCGCAAGGAGGCAGGGATCGTTTCATTGGTCAACAATATACCTGGCGTCCTATTGGTTTGGGGATTTTGACAGGGTTGTTATTACAAAAAAATCCAAGCGCAGGGCAGAAATCTGAGAGCAGAAATTCCACGAGTGCACAGAAGCAGCTTGAGCGCGAGGATAAGAGCTGAAGCTGGAGCAGGAAATCTGTGCAAGCAACATTGTATCTGAGTGTGAGCACACAGTTTGAGCAGAAACAGAGTAGATCTAAGAGCGAGCAGAGGCTATTTGAGTGCGAGGGCAGGGTTTTGAGGGACAATATTACAAAATCTGAATGTGAAATTAATAAATAATGCTCTCAAATTGATATATCACTCTCCTGAATAAAGATAGGAAAAAAGCTCCATATGTCCTGAGGTCCTTAACACTTATTGAGTGTTATTAGAAGAAAACCTGATGTAACACAGTGGTAAACATGCCTGTTTTGGAACATGTTGCAGGCATCAAAATGAAGGAATGTATATTTAGAAAAATAAATAATGTTTATGAATTTGAACATTAAATATCTTGTTTTTTATTTTTTTTAAAAAAGTCTGCTGTGTTGTTGTTGTGTGGGTGCACATGAAATGATTCAGCACTCAGCATTGTTACCTTTTCTGAAAGAGAAAGAAAGAATCATTCCATCAGATATTTTTGACAACTGTCATCAACACTGAAATGAACAGGACTTGCATGCATTTTTTTTATCAGTGAACACTGACCTTAACCAAAGAGCGTTGATATTAATACACACTCACTAAACCTTGAACTTTAACATTACTCTGTGTAGCTGGGAGAATACTAAATATTAATCAATAAGAGTTTTTGTGGTTTAACGTTTACTAAGTTAAATAAACTAAATTTCATCTGCTGGCTTTTTGGCTCACCAAGATGCCTAACGTTACAGTTAACCACCACATAATTGCTGTTATGCTAACCACACACCACACATTTTAACATTAACTTACACACGGTAACATTAACTTCAGCTAATGCTACAATTACATTACAAGATAAACGTTGCTCCTTTTTTATGTAGTATTTGCCGAATGTAGACATGTATGCAATAAGCTGACATCACTAAGTTGACTTTAACTCTTACCTCTAAAGTTTACCTCGAATTACGGAAGCTAACTTAGCAAGCAGCGATTTAGCACCGCAAAGCCAAGAGCAGTGTTCAGTCAGGTTAACCATGTTTGTAGGCGTTTGTAGTGTCCACTGGCTGCCTCATTCAGATCCACCCCCCCCTACTCCACAGCTTCACCTTCTCATCCAAAAATTTGCATGTCTGGCTACAGAAATCCAAGATGGCAACAGCTAAAATGCCAAACGCGAGGCTTCAAAACGGCAGTCCACAAACCAGTGGGTGAAATGAACTGATAGGATTTTGGTGCTCAAAGGTTAAGATCAGTGTAGTCTGAGTGGGCGGAAGTTCGCTGCATAGCTCAGCCTCTCATTGGGCGGAATGAGCCACCCGCTGAAGTCCCGCCCTACCACCTCCGGTTGTGTAGCAGTTTTCAACCGTTTTCAACACGTCCTTTACTAACTTTTGCGGTGTTTGATCTTGCGGGGATGTAGCCATTTTTCTGCCATGGTTCACATCCTGTAGGTGATATTTTTTGTGGACACCAAAACCTGTTTCCCCCCAGCAAAATTTTTGCAAGCGCACCGTTGCTGTGGCACCGCCCAGAACGACTGTGATTGGTTGAAAGAAATACAAGCAGCCGGGGTGTTTTTTTTCTCCAATCTTAAAGTGAGAGTTGGCCCAGCCAGACCTTTCTTTTCTTGAGAAAGGTCTGGTGAGCGAGACTAAGATCAGTGTGACCTCACAAAATATGTTTTTTGGCCGTAACTCATAACCTAATTGTAACAAAACTTCACACAAATGTCTAATAAGATAAAATAATGAAGTGATGGAATTTTATATCCAAAAGGTCAAAGGTCAGCTTCACCGTGACATGTTCTGCATGAAACTTTTCCTGACCATTCTTCAACATCATATATCAGGAACAGAAGGGGAGACATTTGATCAGATGCTGAATTGGTGACACTCTAATTGGGTGTTCACCTTCGGACACCCAAGGAGAGATTGTCTTCTTGTATGGATCTTCTGTGCTATGGGGGGACAATGGGTGCAAAGCATCCATATTTTCACAGACATGAATATAAACTGTAAGTGAAAGTTGACTGGTGCATGAGGCATACAACTGCAAGGTGGTAATTCTAGTTTCAGCGTAACATTGTTGAAACAGAGCAGCTAGTGTTGCTGTAGTGAGAAGTTAGCAGAGTGAGATGGCTGGCAAGCCAGGTTATGTCATGTTTCCTCAGTATTTTAACTCTTAATGGCATTGCTTACTTATGGCTTGTTCTCTGTCTGCTGACCCTAATTTTCTCAGAAATCCCAAATATTTCAACACTGATTTATTCACAAGTAAATAATGTTATTTTCGTCAACTTTTTCCTGGCTGCTTGCCATTATCTGCCTGGCACTATTTCACAGTGACACAGAATTTTCAAATAAAGTCATATTCTAAAGATAATGATAGGGATCGATGTTTTCTCCTTGCATCGATGATTTTGGAGCATTGATCATTGAATCAATACATTCATCAAGATGTTACATCCCTAATGAAGGTTATTTAAAACACAAAAACAGAAGTAATGTTTTTCTTTTTCTTTTTTTGTCTTTCACAGGGCTATGCTCGCATGACATCAGCTGTCAGTCAGGAGAGCTGCCAGGACTGGGGCTTCATGGGACTAGGAGGAGTTTTCAGTGTAGAGTGGATCCACAAGGAAAGTCTTCCCTTCCACTGCACCCAACACATCCTCAACCCATGGAACGACAACAAGAAGGTCCAGATCAGCAGAGATGGACAGGTGAGAAGATGGTGCAACTGAGTCTGGTTCATGTTGTAGAATAGTCTCCAGGCACCTCAGGATTTGATTTGATTACAATTTAGAGAGCGATGATTCGATTTTAAAATGATTATTGATGCATCACAATGCATCAATTTTTTTTTTATTTCTAGACATGATTTATTTTTCTTACTGTGTAAGACTACCTGCTACTCTAAAACACAGTGTGTATATGTAGTCATCCATAATTAAATAAAAAGATGAATTTACTTGCGTACAGCGTGGCTGCAGGTCTCTTTACCCTTGAACTGAAGGAGCCAAAATACTTTTATGATGAAGTGATGACAATTTGTATCCAAAAGGTCAAAGGTCATCTTTACTGTGACATCATAATGTTCTGCATAAAACATTTTTCTGGCCATCACTCAACTCTAATTTTGGGTGTCCAACTTGAAATTGTTATGATTGAATGGATTTTTTGTGCTGCAGAGAGGAAAAAGTGTTTGTGAAGCACTTTAACTTGGCTGGTGTGCTGAGGCTGAAAATCTGACAGGTTAGAGTCGTTGGACACGCTGTGGCACGCTCTTGTTCTCCTTTCTTCCTCACCTTGTTAATGTCCCGCCTGATGTCATAGTTTATTTTACTTTGCTCTGCTCTTAAAACCCTGGCAAAACCAAGAAGCCTATGTTGGCATGGCAAAACGTATGACTCAATGAGCGCGGCCAGCTTTTCATTGTGATTTGTTTTCCTCTTTCTTCAGCCGTACTCTGATTTTATTGCTCTACGAAGAAACTGAAAGTAAAACTCAAGTTCTAGTTGGTATCATTTCCTTTTGTTACTTTCAGAAGGTTCTAAAGGTTCTATTTAAATGTATACTTCTTTTTGTGATAAGCTCATAATTTTGGCTGATATCAGGCAAGTGCGGCAGCGTTTCTCCTTCTCTTCTTATGCTGTATGCAGGCAGTCAGTAGGTTTTGGGCAGTCAGCAGGACACCACTTTTGGCAAGAGCAGGAGTTCAGTTGTAGTGAGTTTCTGTGGTTTCGTTGAACCTCTTGTTCTGAAAGTTTGTCTTGTTTGGAACTTTTTGAAGTGCAAGAAAGCGGTGCATTACAGTAGTATAACGCCAGGGCCACACTGTCAAAGCGCAGCGCACCGAAATTCTCGTGCGAGCCCGTTCACATCAGACGCACATTTCTCCACGCCGGTCGACAAGCGCTTCTGCTCCCAGCTGTTGTCTCTCTGTTTGCATGTGTTCTCTCTCTCTCTCTCTCTCTCTCTCTCTCTCTCTCTTTCTTTCTGTGTGTGTGTGTGTGTGTGTGTGTGTTAGTGGGTGTGTGTGTGTGTGTTCATCTCTCTCGCGCTCTGTTTAGATACCACTGACTAATAAACACACACACATATATACATCGCATTTGTCAAATGGGGTGTTTTATTTTGAAATTTGTTTTATTCTGAAAATTGACTGGATGCTGTTGTTGTTCCTTTGTTTGACTTCCTGCCCGGCTTGACACATTCGCTCGCGGCTCGCGCAGAAAATAGACCAGACACCAAAATGATCGCTGCAGCGCGGTGTGGATGACACAATCGGTTAACATGGGCGGCGAAAGGAAACTGGCTTCGCTTCGAGGCTATTCGCAGCGCTTCCGCGTCCGGTGTGGCCCTGGTGTAAGCATCATAGCTCTCAAGCCACAGTTATGCCTAAAAAGAATAATGGGGTAAAACTGATCCCCAATCAAGTGTGCTTCTGTAGCGGTTTGGTACTATCACATGCGTTGTGTAGTTTCACAGATGATAAGGACAGTCACTGTCAGACTCCGATGCCGCTTTATTGGCATATATCTGGTAACACAGGAAAAATATCTTTTCATCAGGTCTCACAGCCACAGCTCAGGATTTAACATAAACAAGAGTCCTCCTGATAGCTTTTACACATGAACAAAATAAAACTACAATTGAATAAAGAATATTAAAGATACCTGGTAACACAGGAAAAATATCTTTTCATCAGGTCTCACATCCACAGCTCAGGATCAAAGATAAACTGAAAGAAAACAGATTTCATGAGACTCACTAGCTGTTAAAAAGTCACGCTGCAGGGATTAGCCACAAACTGGGTCTCATTCATGAAACGTGAGCAGAAGGAATTTGTGTGTAAACTGTTCACAGACGGAAACTTATGTGCGTGTCCGCATTCATCAGTATTTTAGTAGCTCCAATCTTTTCATAGCTACTAACAAAATGTACTCCTGCTCCTGACCACTCGTAGTGCTTGTGTAAATTTAGTAAAGCACATAAATATTGCTTGTCACTATTGGAAATTACAAATTTAATTAATATTGAGCTCTGTTATGTACACAATACACAGATGCCTTTGAAACACGTAATCTAAACATGACAAAATATTAAAAATATAACACATTTAGTTAAATTAGTTGACAATTAGCAGGTTTAAGATCCAGATTAGGTTCATGATTGTGAATTATCTATGTAAATCGACTCAATAGAATACACATTCTTTCTACATGTTGAATGATGATAATAAAAATATCCGTAAGGACAGCCGATCACAGCCTCTTCGGCCTCAGTGCCTGGGTTCAGCAGGAGCAGCAGGTGGTGGAACCACGAAGGAACAAGCGCCAGCTGAAAGAATTATTTGAGACAACAAGTTTTGTTTTTTTTTTGTTTGTTTTTTGTGGCTTTTTGATCATTTGAATGAATAAATCTGATTTGAAAAATGTTTAATTTACGTTGTATAAAACAGAGCTTTAGGCTATTAAGATTCAAATAATTTGAAGACGATGCATACAAACTGCTGTAGGCTATATGTTATCCGTATCATTTGTTAAAATAAATGTTAAATAGCTCTACATTCCGACAGCCATCACTGATTTAGAGTTTATCCATTACGCACAAAACACCTCTGGTTTCCCGTTCCCACTTCATTCAAAACCCCACAACTGAATCTTCTGTTTGTTTGGTGACTGCTGTATTTTTGTGTGTGTGCTTATGTGTTTCTTATCAAACCATTTACGCTTCACCTCTGACATGGTTCTTTGTACTACGGAGACAACATTAACAGCATCTGTTCCCTCCCTCCAGGCCTTTGCTTTGCCTGTCCCTGTCACACCACTACTAACTGAAGAAAATAAAATGTTTTTTCTTAAGTCCACTTCACCCAAAATTATTTCAATCTCCGCTTCGGAAAAAATATTTTTTCTTTCTCTTTCTTTGTTTGCGCCATGACTGACAGGTCAACTGGATGCACCTACACCTCCTTATATGGTGGTCATTGGCTATTCATGTGCGGGGATTTATGCTAATTGCTGATTACCGGGATCACGCTGTCACTTTACGATGGATTGGCATTCATGATCATACACACGTTTATGATCAAATCTGAGTTTCCCGCAGCGTTCCTGAATCCGGAGTAGGTTTTTAGTATTGTAGGCTTTTATGTGCAAATCTACACACAGATTTACTCACTTTTCATGAATGAGACCCAATGCCAATAAAGGCTATTCTATTCTATTCTATTCTATTCTATCAAAAATAAAGTTATATTAACGGAGTTCAGTCCAAGCCAACCTACCAAGTCTGTAGGGGCTCGTACGTTTGGTGTTCAAGTGCCCACGGATAACTAAGAGTTTGCAGCTCATATATCATAATAAAAGCAACAAAAAAAAACACTGAATGAAACTTAATATTATACAGGCAGGTAAATAATAATAAATTAAATGCAGTACACCTTCAGTGATGACAGAAATACAGCTAGTGATGGCAAGTGGAATCAATAACACATTAACTCTGTTACACTTCTTAAATGGACAGATTGATATCCCTGAAGTTAAACTGAGTTGGTGTTATACTGTGACCATTAAGTCAAGTCAAGTTTATTTATATAGCACATTTCATACGACAAGCGTAAACTCAATGTGCTTAAAAAGGCAAAGCAGATAAAATCACACATGCCAAGAACATACCATTCCGTAAGCAATATATATATAAAACATATGAGATAAAAATAAACAAGAACATTTTATACATATAGAATAGGACAATATATAACATGTTAGAAGACGAAGCTTTTAATACAAACACTAGACCTGATTAAAAGCTTGTGAAAAAAAGATATGTTTTTAGTTTGCTTTTAATAGAAGATATTGTTGCAGCAGACCTGAGATCATGTGGTAAAGAATTCCAGAGAGTAGGTCTGTAATGAGGGAAGGCACCTTGAACTGATTTAGAATGAATTCTGGGTATAGTGAGGAAACCTTTACTTGATGATCTCGGTAGTCTTTCCGGTATATATTCAGTGAGCATGTCAGAGATGTAGGAGGGTGCCAGGCTATTCATGGCTTTAAAAACAATAAGTAAAATTTTAAAATCAATTCTTTGATTTATAGGAAGCCAGTGAAGAGAAGCCATAATAGGAGAGATGTGTTCATATCCTTGGGTTCTGGTTAGTACTCTGGCTGCAGTGTTCCGACTGGAAACAAATGCATGAACCAACTTTTCAGAATCTGAGAGTGTAAGGAAGGATCTAACTTTAGAAATATTTCTAAGATGATAAAAAGCGGTTTTGGAGATATTACAAATGTGTTTAAGATAAGCATCAATACTTACACCTAAATCTTTGACATGCTCACAGGGTTTTACCAGTAGGAGAGACAACAGAGTGCTAATTTGGTGACCAAGAGCCTTTGGACCTGTTAATAAAATCTCTGTCTTGTCCTCGTTTAGCTGTAGAAAGTTTCTGGCCATCCAATACCTGACATCAGTAATGCATTGGATAAGATCATTCACTGGTTGATGATGGTCAGCAGAAACAGATATGTATAACTGAGTGCCATCAGCATAGGAGTGATATGATATGTTGTGTTGTTGAATAATGGGCCCAAGTGGGAGCATATACAAATTGAATTGAGCAATACGAATTGAATTGAGTAAAGGACCAAGAATGGATCCTTGAGGAACTCCATATGGAATGCTGACTTTGTTTGATTTAAAATCACCAACAGAAACAGAGAATGATCTACCAGAGAGATATGAAGCAAGCCAGTTGAGGACAGTGCCTTTAAAACCTAAACATTGTTCAAGATGCTGAAGAAAAATGACATGGTCAGCCGTGAGAAACACAGCACTGAGGTCAAGTATTACCAGGACAGAGACTCTGTGATTGTCAGTGTTGATTTTAAGATAGTTAATAACCCTAACCAGGGCAGTTTCTGTGCTATGGTTAGTTCTAAAACCAGACTGGTAAACATCAAATAGATTGTTTTTCGACAGGTACATGTGTAATTGTTGATATACAACCTTTTCCAGAATTTTCCCCAAGAATGGTAGGTTTGATATTGGTCTATAGTTCTCAAGGAGAAAAGGGTCAAGATTAATCTTTTTTAGCAGTGAAGTTACTATAGCATGTTTGAGAACCTTGGGGAAGACTCCAGAGAGTGGAGAGGAATTGACAATTTCCAGGACGTCATCTACCAGACAGTTAAAAACATTTTTAAATAGCTAGGTAGGTATTGCATCAAGAGCACATGTAGCAGGGCTTAATTGTTGTACAATTTCTTGTAGTTCACAACTTTGAATGAGGGTGAAATTGGAGAGTGTTGGCAGCATGGCAATGAGAGGAAAGAAAGGAGTCACTCACTCCAGTAGAGGCAGTCATGATATTATTTCTAGTACAGGTAATCTTGAGTTTAAAGTATGTGGCAAATTCGTTGCATTTTTCTGTAGAGTGAAGCTCAATGGGTATTGGTCTGAAGGGACTGACCAGTTTAATCTTTTATTATTAAGATTTTGAGAAATAATTTGAGAGAAATACTGCTGTCTGGATTTCTCTTTATTATAATTACTTAATGAGAGTTTATAGGAAGTATGATAAGCCTGCAATTTTGTCTTACGCCACTTGCGCTCAGATTTGCGACACATTCTTTTTAGTGCCTCCACTCTTGCCATTTCCACCCATGGTGCTCTTGATTTACTGAGAGTAGGTGTTTCTGTGATGATCTGGAGAATTCAAGGATGAGGCCGATTTCGGCGTTCTTTCTTAATGCACATTTAATTACGAGCTCGGATCAACATGGCTACATGCAGAAGCTATGTGATAAGTGTGAACAGAAAGAGACACAGGTTATATAGGATGGTGGCATGTATACTGTTACCTAAAATGGTGCCTTGACACATTTAACTTGACCTTGGGCCAACTAACACCTAACAGAAGTGCAGGGGCCTCAGGGATCGCTCACCCCCTTCACTTTTTACCCCCTTCACCCCCAGTGTTACACTCCTTCCTGCAACCCGAGCCAAACAGCGGTAAAAACATTGCCGCTAATGCCCTATTTTTCCTGTCGTGAGGAGTGGAAGGTGTGCTGGTGGATGCACAACGCTTGTAAGTTGTGCTGTTGTCCATGTTTTTCACGTTGACGAGACGGCGTTTTGGGTGGAGAGGTCGCCATGGACGCGGAGCTTGCTGTTTCTGTAGGTACACATTTCCTGGGGACACCTGCACATCTCGGCCCCGCCCCCCTCCATTGTGATTAGCTAAAGCGCAGCATCGTTCAACCGTGAAATAACCAGGTCCGGAGTGTGACCCTGATTATGAGTAGGCTCAGCTATGTGCAGTGTGAGGTTGAAGATTGATAACATGTCAGTAAACTGGTTAGCAAAATGGTCAGTAATGTTATCAGTATGAATGTTGAAATCTCCTGAAATAAGGACAGGATCATATTCAAAAGTGATTTTGGATAGAAGCTCACCAAATTCAGCAATAAAACCTTTTTTAAGCTTTGGGAGATGATAAACTGTGAGTATTAGACAGGGATATGCAGATTTCATTTCCAAGGCTAAATATTCAAAGGTAGAGTGTGTACCAAAAGAAACATTTTTACAGAATATAGTATTGGAAAAAAATGCAGCAACACCACTACCCTTCCTATTTGACCTGCTACAATGTGAAAATAAGAAGTTTGGTGAAGAAGCTTCAATCAGCTCTTTGCTACAAGATTTATCAAGCCAAGTCTCAGTAAGGAGTATACACTCTAGACTGTGTGATGTTGTAAAGTCATTGATAATAAAGTCTTTTTGGTAAGAGATCTGACATTTAGAAGTGCAAACTTTAAGACGTTTACAGATGAATTATCAGGTGTTACAGAGTCAGGCCTGTGGTGGCCAAAGTTTCTCAGAGACTGGTTATGAGAAGTAAAAAGCACGCAGTGGCAGGACCCAGAATGTTAGTGCTGGATGTAGCAGGAGATGTACAAGTCTAGATAGGGTCATGCTGTGGTGCATATCACACTGAATTAAAAGCAATAAACCAGATGAAATTACCAGTCAGCTGCTTTGTTCCCCTCCTATTTGGGTGCACACCGCCTGCTCTGTATAAGCTAGAGTTCGTCCAAAGGTAGTCAAAGTTGGATATGAAATCAGACTGAAGAGGCAGCTAAAATGCTTAGAGTTTTTGGAGAGAGCTGGGATTGGGCCAGACATAATACAGGATCCCAGACTCTCAACAGTGCAACACAGGGACTCAAGATCTGCATGTAATTTACTAGATTGTCTAGCCATGACATCATTTGTTCCGACGTGTGTTATAACAATACTGACTGTGGGATGCAGGTCATGAGCGTCGGAATGAGTTCAGTTAAGTCAACCACTTTGCTACCACAGAGACAGTAGGTGATAGCCCCAGGGAGAGTGAAATATCTAACAATAGAGTCACCGACTGTCAAAATCTCTGGATTGCTGCTTACCACAATGGAGTTGTAGACAGCGAGTTTCGGTGGAAGCTGGCCAACCACGCTCTGCATACTTGCTGAGTTAACCATGGCGTTAGTCATCTGCGGCGGATCGAGCAGCGTAGCACCCTGGCCGGAGGGACCAAGGTGGGGCGGAGGCTAGAGAGCGGCCGGAGGTCCGGATGTTGCAGCGAGAGTTGCACTGCTGTCCTCCGGTAAAGGAGTGCACAGTTGCTGGCGCTTGTCTGATGGAGAGGCGGCTCTTGGGCTGGAGTTGCTGAGTGGGGATCTGCGCCTTTTGGAAACACTTGTTTCTCTATTAGCAGAAGTCACTTTCAGCGGTAGAGCGGACGACACCGGCAGAGCAGCAAAACGGGAGAAAAAGTTTGGCAGCTCCAAATCTGTGGTGTCATCCAGGGAGTCAAAGAGGGGAAGGGACCAGCGTCCCCTCCCGCCCTTCGCCAAAATCTAGGCAAAGGAGATAGTTATAAACAACTGAAGTCAAAGCAAGTAGTTTAAAAGCCACTTAAAACTTGAAAAAAAATCAGTTTAAAATTGTGGGTGAGGGAGAGCACAGTGTGAGTCACATTCACCCAGCAGTGGCGTGGGTGTTTGTTGGACCCATCCACTACCTAAGTGTTTCTTTCATTTTTTAAACAGTGTTTTACAGGTTGGCAGTGTGATGAATTTGCCAATAGGTGATGCACTTCCTTTGCTCTGTGAATGTCATTACTGCATTTTAAACTTGTCCCTTTCTCTTTTTTGTCTCATGTAGGAGTTAGAGCCCCAGGCAGGCAGCCAACTTTTGTCACTATGGGAGAGAAACCCAAGGAACCAAGTGAAGTAAAAAACGGCAGCAGAACACCTCTCTGCACTTTTGTTTTCTAGGACGGCTGACATGTCATACTTCTACTGACTGCACTACCAGTTCAGGAGAGATGACAGGACAGTGGAAGAAGGACCCATTCATTCAAGTTCAGCTCTTGGCTTCTTCTGTTTCTGTGTTTTGTGTATTGAATAAGTTCTCGTTCAGGTTTCATTCCTGTTATTCAGAATGGTACTCATGTTCAAATCAAACACTATGTTCACAGTAAAATGTATGTGGCTCTGTGGATGTTATAAAATGATTTTTTTTTTTTAAATCTTACAATAATTAGAATGAATGAAACGTGTGTATCACTATTTTTGATTTGATAAATGCAGAAGCCATTACAGTTCAGTCAGATTGTTGTAATGATATCCAGTTAGTTTTATGGTAATGTTTTAAGAGACTGACAAATGTATAAACAAGGCTTCTCTTCACACCCAGTAGGAACTTTGGAGATTGTGTCTCTTAGAATGGTTTAAAATGTTGTGATAACGTTAAAGTGCCTCAGGCTCCATCATCAGGGACTCCTTTTGGGACTCATTTGAACCTGTTTGTCAATGTTTTGCTTCCTGGATAAAGACAGAAATTAGTTAATATATATTGTTTGCATTTGAATCTTGAACTTCAAGCAGGTTCATTTTCTGGATGAGGAGACTGTTGAGTCCAGGTTTCCTTATGACTGTGTTAACGAGTTGACAAAAATAAATAGTGATTTCCACTTAACACTGTCAAAGTGTGATTTCCTCTGACTGTCCAGGTGCCAGAATCCACATGAAAGAAAACAGCTGCTAATAAAATTGCTGATACATTCATCTCAGTCAACTTCAATTAAACCATCTGTTCAATTATAGTAAGTGCTGTGTAGAACTTTTTGCCATAGGATTAGCCTTATGTTTTTTTCCTAGTTCTCATCACACAGGTGTATCGTAGTATTTTGAGCTGCAGTAATGGAATCACTGTAAAAAAGCAACACTATCACAGCGGACTAAAGTAAACTTTGCACACGTTAAAATCGTGTTTAAAAAACAGCATATAGGCTGCTCTTTTTTTACCTGAGACTCCAGACTTTAGTCCATGGATACTTTTGTCTTCAGTGATGTGATTGGTCTGTGGTCAGGGTGTCGACAGGTTGTAATCTGATACATCACCTGCTCAGGAGCAGAGGGGTCTTCATTCAAGGTGGATAAAGGAAAGCCTGGCTTATTTTGATAAGTCTTGCTAGTTTAAGTGGGAGATCCTTTCCATTACCGTGGCTTATATGAATCCCTGCTTTATACCGCTGAACTAGCCTAACTGCCAAGCTTAATGTAGCTGCATGTCAAAGAATCCCAAAAGACAGTTCTGTACAGTACATTTTCATGTAGGCAACACTTTTATACCGGGTTTCAGACGTTTTTCTTACCATGTGACCAAGCATGAATTCATATACTTCCAAAGAAGTTACTGATGAGAATAAAATTTAAAAAAAGTCTTCCCACTTTCACTGTCTAAAAAGCCAAATGGTTTTTTGACACAGGCCAACCTATTTCAGTTATCCCCATTTCATTCATCATCACCCTCATTGTAGTTTAGAGTGTTTAGACTGTATGATGTAGCAACAGCCACATTTCCCATCATGCCGACTGCTGGACTGAGTAGTTTGCAGTTAAGTTTGCTGTTTTATGTTTCAAAATGCAAATGTCACTTCATATCAGTGATTATTAAGTGTCTGTTCAGAACATAGTGGTTCATGATGGTTATTGTCATTTTTGTGTTAAATTATAGTTTACACTATCAGCTGTTACAGCTGTATTTCTGTAAATGTGTCTCTCAAGGTATGTATCTTACATGACTGTCATATAATGATTGCTAGTACATGTCCTGCTTTGCTTTCTCTGTGGTTTGCCTTAAGAATAATATGGTATCTGTGGAGTGAACCACTGTTTTGGAAGGTCTTAGGAAAAATTCACATTATGCGTACTATAATGTATGCTATTTTATCTTGTTGCACAGGTCAGCGGGATTAATTTTTTTTTGACTATTCTGAATCTGTGTAAGATCTAACAAATTGAACCTTAAGCCTGATTGCTTCACAGTATCTCTCAGCAGCGGTGGCTTCTGCCTCTCTCTCTTATTTATTTATTTTGGTGGCATAAATTATATATTTACGGCTTTAATTTTCACTTGTTGCTATGTTCTTTTCTGGCCTTTAAGGTGGCTCCTGTTGAGATGTAACGGAAGAATGAATATAAGCCACAGGTCAGACAGGCTTCACACACACCACAACATTTTAGGCTTATTACAGTTCATTCATTGTAGTTCTGCCAGTTCTCCTAAGTTAGCCACCATTTTAAACACACAACTGATATTATCTGGCCTACTGATAATGTTTTATATTCTTCATAGTGCTCCATTAGCATGGTTGTTCCAACCATGGCCGTAGCCAGCTATGAGGTAACCGAGATCCGCACCTCGATCAAAATTTCAAAGAGAAAAAAATCTTTAAAAAGAAGCCCCAAACAGCATGGTAAACATATTAACACACCGGACAGCTTTTATTTTGAAATGACACGCAGGAAGTAATCTGATGTATCGGCGGAACATGGAAAACTTGAATTCAGTTGACAGGAAGACGACGATACTGTTAGCTGACAGACAAGGTTAGTTTATTATTATTTTAGCGACGACCAAGCAGCCCACTGTAAGTTAAAGTTGAAGAAAAAGTTAAGTTCTTGCTAAGTAACGTTAATGTTAGAAGCTTTAGCTGTGACACAATGGGATGAAAGCTACTGGCTAATCATGCATGATGTAAGCTCATTAAGTCAGGGCCATGCTCCCAAAGGTAACGTTATTTAACGTTATGCAGGTGGCTGTTTCATGACCCAATAAAGTTACATGAGGTTAGGTGGTGTAGAAATTATATATATACATATATATGTATATAGTTTCTACACACGGTGACCTAATATCATAATAAGGTCAATATTTTTTGTCATAAACACAAAAAATATTGAACTTATTATGATATTCTAAATTATGGTGATGCACCTGTATGTTGTATACTAGATTTGATTGAGGTGGGTATTTGATACATAATGCACTGGGCAATAAGAGCATCCCTCTATCTGTGTGAACACTATTCAGTGGCTTGAAGCCTTTAACCACATCAAATAATGTTGTTACATTATGCAGTGCTTTATTCACTTATTTGAAGAGTACATGACCTCACATGTTTGTGTCATCTACTATTTATTTGTTGTCGTTGCATTACTCTTGCTAGCCTAGAATTTGATAATAATCACATGCCATAATTCAAACCCTTCATTCCAAATTATCTTCAAGCAATGTAATGTAATCAATAAGGTCTAATCAACCTCCATAATCCCCCCCCACCCCAAGCAAATAAAGATGTCAAAAAGAAAACATTTTCTCCAGAAAACATTAGATTCATTTGTTAAAAAAAACCTTTGCCAATATATTCCTGCAGATAGAAGGGACATGTATGCCTTTATTTATATGCACATGTGTATGAGTGCCTATCTGTTGCCTTTGACCTATGTATATGGTTGTGGGTGTGATTGTATGTTTGTAGTGGTGGATGCCACCTGGAGGGGGTGGGGGGGGTGGGGGTGGGGGGCTTACAACTTTTGTAAGAAATGCTTAACCATTGATGTTAATGTTTTTGCTATGGATAAAATGATAAATAAAGTTGTCAAAAAACAAAAAACCTTTGCCATGTGACAATGAGGACAGAGAGGATTTTTTTATAATAGATGATGACTATGTGTGTAGTGTAGAGCTCGGGTACTGTACTTGTGTTTGTAGGTGTCATTTTGGAATGAATTTTGTCAAAACTGGTTAAAGGGGTCTCTTTACCTCTCACCTCAATATGTCTCAGTGAAAATGGGTTTTTAGAGTCCTTACAACAGAAAATCTCTCTCCCTCCTCTCTCTCTCAAAATACCATTATTGTTGTACTAGTACAAAGTAGCCTGCCATAGAAAAACTATCACCTCACCGTATAGGATTGTGTACAGCCTACTATAAAGTAGCTACTAGCTAGAGTGGTCCAAACTGATGTTAAAAAGCATATTTTTTTTAAGTCAAATAATGTGAACATTTTCTGCAGCTGGGCCAAAATCCCCCCTGCTCCTTTTCAAATTCTGGACCTCACTAACTTCTAAACCCTGGCTACGGCCCTGCCTGCACCCCAGGTGGCCTTGGTCCAGACATCCCTTATGTTGGGGAGAAAACCTACAGTAACAGAATGGAAGGTGATCACCTTACTGCCATCCAGGGTGTGGTTTTCCCAAGTGGGTATTGTGGCTGCACACAAGGGCCTCTCCTTTAGGCTCATCAGTAAGGTGAAAAAACTATGCCAAGTGGGCAAATTACATCTATTTCATTAAAGGTCCCTGATGCAATTATATGATAACATACTGGTTCAAATCCTTAAAATCATTTAGAATTGTGTCATGTAACACTCAGTTATCTACACTTCTGCCAATGATTATTTAATTAATTGTTTTTTTTTTTGTTTTTATTAATTTATCTATTTCTATATATATTTTTTAGTATTGTTAGTTTTTTTGTAGTCAGTTTGTCCAAGTATTGTCTACCGTCTCACTATACAGCTGTGTGACCTCTTCAGTCTTTATATCCTATTTTTCAGTTTTTATATAGCCATACAATGTAGGCTAGCTGATGTTGTTTTTGTAGTTCAAAAGAAAACAATAAAAATTACTGGTCATAAAAAAAAGTGACGGAACTTCCGGGTTGGCAATGTAGAGGACGGACATGTGGAGTATACCTCCGTATAATTTCAAAAAATTTTGTGAATTACGTAATTCTTTCGTTGTAACCATCTGTTTTAAATAATGTTGCACTGAACCTGCATCACCTCACTGTATAGGATTATTTACAGCCTACTATAAAGTAGCTACTAGCTAGAGTGGTCCAAACTGATGTTAAAATGCATATATTTTTTTAGTCAAATAATGTGAACATTTTCTGCAGCTGGGCCAAATCACCCAGCAAAGGGCTGCAGGCTGGAGTCGAACCCAGGTCACTGCAGCAACAGCCTTGTATATTGGATGCCTGCTCTATCCACTAAGCCACTGACGCCCCACAAGAATTTTAAAAACATGTCTGTAACCTAGGGTTTGCTACATTAATGTTCTGTCTGGTGATAGAATACAGCAGACAGGGGTGGCACATCAGAAAACCGCTGTGTGTTTTGGATGGTTAGGGCAACAGAACTGATTTTTTTCTCGAGCAAAAGCGCAGCTCTGCTCGTGTTTTCTAATGATGGTGACAGCTCAAATTAAACAAGTAAATGTTGCTCTAGTTAAAATTTTTTGACTTTCATTTTTTGTTAGACATATTTTTTCATTTAATTTGGAGGAATTTCCATTTGTCCACTGTTCTGCAGCAGTTCCTCTTAAATAAGACTATTGCATGTCCAAGTACACTACTTCTCCTTAAAGCAAGCAGAAGTAATGCTTGCCTGACAAAATAAAAATAAGAAAAAAAAGATTGGAATAGAAGCTCGGTCTTTTTCAAGAAGAACCACTGAAGAAGACCTGCATATCTGAGTCCAACAGTGATTATTTAGCCAAGTCAACAGCCATTGTCTGACCAGAAGAACTCTGATTAGTCAAGTATTAATGATTTTAAACTGGTTATAGTGGACTATACTGACCACCAGCACATGTGGCTTGTGTTCATTTAATAGAGAACATTTGTTCATCTTGTTGACTGGTTAGGGTTAAGGCTTGGGTGCTCTGTACCACCACAACTAAGACTGCAACCCTCTTTGTAAGCTCTTGCTGACA